AACCAGACAACCGTTGAGCTGCAGATGTTGCATCATTTAGATTTCTTCCTGCCTCAATCTGTTCACATGGTTTCCGTTTCTAGAGGATAATTCAGCACCTGGAACAACGATAGAAACGCCATCTTGGACACTTCCAAGATGAACTACACAGGAAACAGGATTAGAATCAGAATCAACCCAAACTACAGCACTGAAGAGGAGGAGGAGGAGGAGGAGGAGGAGGAGGAGGAGGAGGAGGAGGAGGAGGAGGAGGAGGAGGAGGAGGAGGAGGAGGAGGAGGAGGAGGAGGGAGAGGAGGAGGAGGAGGAGGAGGAGGAGTGAGTGCTGGTTTCCATCAGACTCTAACATGGACTCTTCTTGGTCGGAACACAGTTTGAACTGATGATCTCACTGCCATGTTGCAATGGGACATTAATGAGTTGCTGTTGTCATGGAAACGGAACAGATGATGTCATGTTTTGAAGTGTCATTAAACTGTTTTTACTGCAGTAGTGTGAGACTTTAATGGAAGCAGGCGTTGATCACTGATCGTTAATCTGTGAGGGTCAATGACCTCCCATTAGCACCTCCCTGAAGACGAGATGAAGCCTCCATGATGGCGGCAGAGCTGAGGCGACCTCATCTCTGCTCACTGAAGGAGGATCGTCCACCTGTTCAGCTTCAAGCTGGATGATGAGTGAGACTGAAGCAGAAACTATCCAACCTGTTCAAGCTTTAGAAACACATCAGGGCTTTTTAAATGATTTTATTCAGAATGGGGAACGGTAGGAAGCAGAGGGCCGATTAGATCCCATGGACTCTTTCTAAGTATCCAGGACACCTGGTCCATCAGAGGCATAGTGGAAGGACCCACCTAGACCAGCTAAAGTGGTTTAGAGCAGTGCTCACAGACTACAGTCCTGGAGAGCCGGTTTCCTGACACACCTGACTCCAACGTTTGCTCATTAAAGCCGGCGTACACTCTGCGATTTTCTTCAATCATTGCACGCAGCTTCTGCTCACACTGTATGACTAACCGCAGGTTTTAGTCGTACAGTGTGAGCTCACAGCTCACGATTTATGTTCGGGCCGACGCTCTGATGCGATCTACCTGCTCTCACTGTACGACTAAAACCCAGGTGGGACTCAGCTCCACAGTGAGATGGCGCTACTCCGACTCGTCTATCCGGAAGCCAAACCAGTTGAAGAGGAACATGAAGCTCACTAGAGTGAAACGCGCTGTTTTGGCAATTTGTGCAATTTTGTGCTAAAAACCCTAAAAAGAAAAGGAGACGACGTATTTGGACAAAGACATGGCTGAGCTAACATGGCTACTACTTTCATGTTTGGTTTCAGGTTTCTAACCCACATGCAGAACACTCATCAGACAGGGAAAAAGTTCAAAGATTTATTGAAGTGAAAACACAATCAATAAACAGATCCAGGACTGGTCACGAGTGGGTTCACTGAAGAGGGGGACAGAGGAGTTAATGGATGTCCAGGTAATTTGCAGGATGAAAGTATGCAGGTCTGTACCTGTTCAGGAGTTTGAGCAGAGCGGCAGAGGGGGGGAACCAGGAGGGTCCAGAGGCTTTTGGCAGGCAGAGGGCTTGGCGGAGGCAGAGCTTGGTTTGAGTGTTGGCAGGTTCTGATTTAAGTTTTCCTTCCAGTTTCTTCAGAGAGTGGACAGGCAGGTCTTTGACAGGGTTATTCTCCAGAGTTCTTCAGAGAACAGACATGCAGATTACCGACAGAGAAACTCTTCGTTTCTGGTTTCAGGCAGGTTCAACCTGGGAAGCAGTGAGGAGAAGACAGATCAGGTTCTGGTTCAGGTTTTCAGGTAGTCAGAGATTCAGACAGGCTGGTTGGCTCAGGCTTGCTAACCATAACTGGCAAACACTCTGGCGCCGGGGTGATGTCCTCTGCCTCCTTATATACCGGTCTCCTGATGAGCAAACGAGCAACAGGTGGTGCAATCAGCTCCAGTTCCAGGAGACCTAGAACGCCCTCAGGAAGGGATCCTTGGCGCCCTCTGGTGGGCAAGCCTCCGGATCCCAACAACTACGGTCTGTCAGTTTGATAGAAAGAACTCATCTGAAAGGAAGAATAAAAAGAAGAATCCTTTGTGCCCTGAGCGATTTACCCACGACGGTCGGGAGAAAATCAAACATGTTTGATCGCCCCTCGTAACCCTGGGTACACTACACTACACTTCATGACCAGGCTAATAGTCGGCCCAATGGAAAGATTCTCGCACGATTGGAAAATCGCCCCAAAAATCACAGTGTACGCCGGGCTTTAGGGAAAAGTCTGCTCATATTCAGAGTACAAACTTCTGAAAGTGCTTTAAATATGAAATTATCCTATTCAATACATGATCAGTGTTTTTAATTCAGAGTATTCCGTAAAAGTTCAAAAAAATCCACTGGACCTGGTTCACGTTTGAATTGAGAAAGCTTCCTGGAGAGGTAGCAAAACGTCTTCTAATCTTGGAAACCAAGTCCAGTGGATTTTTTTGAACTTTTACGGAATGACTATGACCTGGATGACTGAGAACCTTCATCAGCTTAATTCAGAGTAATTTTCATGTGAATGTGCTTTACTGGAGGCGTCCATGTTTGTCAAAGAACACTACTGCCACCTACTGGTTAGTGACATCACGGTGCGGTATCGGCTGTTGATCAAGTCCCAGTGCTGTATCTGGTGTTTGTCACAACGCGCTATTATCCAAGTCATCTTGAAAACATTCTTCTTCCAAATGTTGGCTACATATTACGGGTTTTTTCTCTGGCCAGAAGTTCGATGGCAAATCCTCCCTCTTCAAGTTGGCGATCCAACGACCAACCCGTCCGTGGAGGATCAGGAATCAGAAAGGTGGAATAACTCTTTTTTTTCACTTTTCCCCGATGTATTCCAGCATCCAGCTGCCATGCACGTGGGCATTGTCAGTTTCACTATAGCTCTGGTGAATTTCAATGGTGAAGTCCTCTGGAAATCTTCAATAATTGTTGTTGATTGCAGATGTGTCTAGTAGTTCCCATTGATTTAGCTTGGAAAGCGGGGAGAATGGCGCTAGGCTTACCGCACCGTGACGTCACTGCTGGAAGATGGCAGGAGGGAGGGGCTACTATATTTGGGCAAAAATGGCCGCTCCCAGACTCAGGGATGACGAAAAGGGTGAATTCGGAAATACAATGGTCGGAACAGCCGTTTCCCTGCGACTTTAACTTAAATGTTATTCAGATTGAGCAGATAGTTGTTGTTGTTATATGAACATTTGTTGTCATGGCGTCACCAAACACATCTGGAGATTATTCCAAAATCGAAATGATTAATCCTGAGGAGAGGAATAGTAGAAGAAGTATGGAAGCAAATCGTCACCATATTTCAAACGAAAAAGCATTTCCAGAAATGCTTTTTCGTTTGAAATATGGTGACGATTTGCTTCCATAAGGAAGTGGATAACAGGATGAATAAAGTTAAACACTCTGAGTATTGCTTCACATGCATTTATTGCACATTTAAAAGACGGACAGAGGAGGGGACCCCTGAGGCAGAACGATTAATTAGTCCAATCCTGGGTGGGGGAGGACGATGATTAAGAGAAGACGGAGGAATGCTTTAAAACAATTATCAAAATATATGGTTGTCCTGGTGTGATTCTGACTGCAGGTGATTATAATTCCAGATTAAAAACTATATGATCAACCTTCGTCTTTCTTTAGGACATTTCTGGAAACATTTAAATGAAAATAAATCTTTTGAATGTTTCAAATCTGAAAATCTGGAAGCTCAATGTAGCTGAACTTGGTTTTATATGAACTGAACACATCACTGATCATAGAACCGATGAAGTTTCTCCGTAGGAACGGCGTCCTGCATGTTTTATAGGATCAGGTGTTGGTCTGTAGCTCCATGGAGACGGCCACGGCATGCCCATGTCTCAGGTGACATCAACCTGCAGGAGACACTGATCAGCTGAGCTGCTTCTCCTCCACCTTCATGCAAAGGAAGAAGAACCCTCTGGTCCAAGTGGGTCTGAGGATAAACCTGCAGCAGTACGCCTGAAGGTGCAGAACCCAAAGATAATTAAAGAGCTTTAATGACAAAGCAGGTCGGAGAAAGGAACCTAGAAAAGGGTTAGGGTTACCTGGAGAGTACCCACGCATGCTCATGGAGATAATGCAAACTCCATGAAGGAAGACCCCGACTGGGAATTGAACCCGGAACCTTCTTCCAGTGCTTCCCACCGTAATATTAGGTACAGTTTATGTCATGATTTTACTTAAAGTTCAGACCCAAATGCAGAAGACCAAACAGGGAGACCAGGGGAAAAAGTTTAACAGGATTTAATGAAGAGATAATACAGAGAGAAGTGTTGCTCTGAACACTGCTCAACCAGAACTGAAAAGTGAGGGGAAGACACAGCGGTTAGTTCAGGCTCAGTGGGAAATTTGGTTCGGGAACTTGGAGAAGAGGATCTGGTTGCTGACTCACGTTTCCAGAGAAGTTGTTGAATCTTTGTTTCCAGTCTGTATGCTGTTGTTCCAGTGTTTGTCTGATTAGGTGGAGGGCGGAACAGGGTTTACCCAGAAAGCAGATGTTTGTAGGTGAACGGAGAAACTGACTGCCACTCAGATTTCCTGCGGTACTTGAACGGGTCGTAGTGGAGATGAATCCCTTTCTCAGTATGAAGCTCAAACGATCTCTTGGGGAAAGTGGATCCAAACCTGCAGTTTGAATCCTCAGCTCAGTTTGAAGCTCAGTTGATCCTTCCAGGGAGAGAAGGTCCAAAAAATCCAGTTTGCAGGATGACTTCCTGCCGAGAGGCAAAGACAAAAACATTGTTAAAACTCAGGTTGACAAGAACTCAGTGTGACTCAGCAAAACTCAGCTTGGCTAGAGTACCCTAAACTGGCAACCACTCTGGTGTCGGTGTAATGGCAGTCAGCAGCTAAAGAACACTCCTTTAACGAGGAAACCATCAGCAGGTGAGTGAGGAGGTGGACCAGAACCAGGCGCCTCCTGGTGGAGGAAGGGAGACAAACACAGAAACACAAACACACAGACAGGAGTCCTGACTGTTTAACTGGGTGTGAAACGATTCTCCAGAAAGCCCGTAGAGCCTTGGAGGAGAACCGTTTCACAAGATGTGAGGAACATCTGGAGTCCAGCATGGAAATAAAAAGGAGGCGAGAAATAAAAAAAACTGATCACCGTCTGGAACTCATTATGGCCTCCTGCTGGATTACTGGTAAACATCTGATGATGATGATGATGATGATGATGATGATGATGATCCTGGTCAGACCATCATCATCTCCTCCTCCATCCCTACATCATTATCTCTGATGTCAGAGACCAAACCAAAGCTAACATTTTAAACTCGGTGTTTGACCAATGAGAAGGCAGGAGGTGGAGTTAGATAACCCAGAGATCCTCTCTGATTGGTCCGCAGCATCCCATCCTGCCCATGAATTCCCCGCCCTCCCCAGCTGACTTCTCTCTCCTCCAGCCTCCTCATATCTGTGGCTCAGATGGGAGGCTGTGGACCGTGGTTCTGATCCAAGCTGCAGGTAGAACCGGGTTCTTAGGATGCTGATGCTGGGAGTTTCCCTCCTGATCTTCAGCCGTCTCGCTCAGGTGAGACCTCCTTCATTCTGAAACGATTCACACCTGGAAACGCTCAAACCACCAGAGAAAATAAAAAACTGGAAAAGATCCTGAGAACTTTGCCCTGCAATTTGTCTGCAGGCTTCCAGGTACACCTGCCTGGGAGACAAACTGGGGGAGATGGGATTCAACTGGTTCTGAACTGGTTCTGTATTTTTTTAATCTTTTGCATTTGCAGATCAGCTGGGGTGGGTGTCCACACGTTGCCATGGAGACAACATACAGGTGTGGTCCTTTCCTCCTGTTGCCTCCTCCTCCTCTTCCTCCTCCTCCTCGCCCTCCCAGAGACCTGGCAGGTAAAAAGTTCTGCTGTTGTTTCTTTTATTGGTCGGAACGGATCAGCGCCGACTCCTGATGGCTACCGGTACTAATCAGAATAGCACAGAACATCTTGAGGACGGCTTTGTGTCTCAGCTTCCTGTCTGACCTTTGACCTCAGCAGGGTTTTAACTCCAGGTGTGGGCGGCTGCTGGAGGCTTTTTTTAAATAATCTGACACTTTAATTAGTTTGAGGAGCAGAAAATGTCTCCCAGCTGTTTAATCCTGGTTCTTATCCCTACCTTCATCCTCCTCCTCCTCTTCTTCATCTCTCTGTGATGCTGCAGTTCGGCCGCCTGATGTTTCGGATGGGGGAATTGAATTCCCAGCGTTCCCGATCCTCTTCATCATTATTTCCACCTCATCAGTGATCCTCCTGATGGCCTTTAACATCTGCTATAAAGCGCTGAGCAGGTTGGTGGATTTATTAGGATTTCATTTTGGTTTTCCATGTTGCCCATTCCCTCTCATCCCGATGGTCCCTGCGTTTCCCTCATAACTGGAAGTTTCTCCTTCCAAATGAATGCATCCAGGATGGACCTGCTGATGACAGATTCCCCATTAAAGGTTATAGCTACAAGTTTTTAATCTAAAAGATTTATTTTTTCAAAAATAATATCTCCAAAAAACATCTAGACCAGGAATTGACAACACAAACTGTTATGTAATTGATTCTGTAATATAAATCAAATATTATGTATTGGAGAAACCAAACAACCTCTCCACAGACGCACGGCCCAACACAAGAAGAGCGCCCTCCTCTGGACAAGACTCTGCGCTACATCTACACCTGATGGACAAAGGACATTCTTTGGAGGACCAGAATGTTCATATTTTGGACAAAGAATCTGTGTCTTCAAATCTGTTTCTTTTTCGTTATCTTCTGCAGACCAGTTAGTTCTACGTCAGCCTGAACACATAAATTCGGCCAATCATATATCAACGCTCATCTGTCAATCAAATGTTTTCGGTCATAGCATCTTGATTCATGTGTCGCAGCTAATATACGCAACGGTTGAAACCAGAATCCTTTCCTTTCCCATTGAGTTGCGTCCCAGTGTTCACGGGGATGGACGTCTGTGTCTTCGGCAGGCGTAGAGCTAACAGAACTGGCAGCGTTGCGAGGCAAGGGCTCAAACATGTACGGCTGGAAGCCTTCTACACCAAACCAAGCTTCTGCCGCCCTGGCGTCCTCTTCCACAACATGCTTCGTCCCCGCTTTCCTCCTCTAAATAAAAAATGGATGACGGAGGAGACTCATCCACGACCTCCGACACTAAACTCTCCTCCTCTTGCATGTTTCCGCTGTCCATAGCGTTCCTTGACAGCGTCGTTTCTAAGTCACCAATTTAGTGCTACTTGGTCCCAATGGAATTTCCCATTGGGAACCTGCTAGCACTAAGATGCTAACTGGTTAGCAAGATGCTACCGACACAACCAAAGTGGCTTGTAACCCTTCCGCCACAACAATCCCGCCCCCTTGATAATCGACCAATCACATTCACTTTATTCAGAAGTAGTGAAAAGAGAGCTGAGCCAAAAGGCAAAGGTCTCGATTTACCGGTTGGAGTAGAGCCGCTGCTCCTCCACATCAAGAGGAGCCAGCTGAGGTGGCTCGGGCATCTTGTTAGGATGCTTCCTGAGCGTCTCCCTAGTGAGGTGTTCCAGGCACGTCCCACCGGGAGGAGACCCAGGACACGCTGGAGGGACTATGTTTCTCTGCTGGCCTTGGAGCACCTTTGGATTCCCCCTGTAGGAGCTGAGCCAAGTGGCTGTAGAGAGGGACGTCTGGGCCTCCCTACTGAAGCTGCTACCCCCAGGACCTGACCCTGGATAAGAGAGGAAGAAGATGGATGGATGGACGGATAACTTTACATGCCTGTTTGTCCTCTTCAGTGCAGAGTCATAGAAGCAGTTCAGCAGAATGAGGCGCATTTTCTCTCTTTTGTTTAAGTTGGAGGTTTGCAATCAAGTTCCAACAGCCTCTGCAGAATTGTCTGAGTAACTGTTTATTGACATCACTTGACATATGACTACATTCAACACTGTATGTAATCTTTGCAGACTGATTCATCTTCTTAGCTAACCTGAGCTCTGAAAGCTGCTGCTTCTCTTTCTGTTCCTGTTGCCAGAGAACCTGAGGGAAGCAGAGAGAACGGGCTGAACATCGGAGGGAACAACAACAACAACAACGAGTCCTGAGGCCAGTTTAACAAAACAGCTTCAACAAACTCAGACTCAAATCCTCAACTCTGAATTAATACCGATGGAAAGCAATCATCTGCTGCAAAGGAGAGGGAGATAGTGCAAGAGAAGATTGCTGCTTGATTTATGATGAAGTCCAGTATGGCAGGCCGTTTTGGCATTTATTAAAGCGCTCTGCTCTTGTTCTATTTGTAGATCACCAAAATAGGATTCTTCCTGGTCAAAATCACCTTCCTACTCAGACATGTAATGATAGATTTCCTAAATTACATTTTCTCAGCAGAAGCTGCATTTCTGAACATCAAATACCAACATTGTATATAAGCCCAGCTGTGCTATATTAGACTGACTCTGAGTTTCCCTGAGTGACCGAGACATAAAACCCAGAACCCCTGGAGTGAAGCCCCCACTGACCCAGCTGCTCAGTACAGAACCGGACCAAAGCCCAGTGTTCCTCCCTCCTGTGGGGCAGCACCACGCTAAGGATCTTCATCTCTAGATGCAAATTGTGTGTTTTTCATCTTACAGCCGCCGTTCCCATCTTCCTTAAGTGTGTTTTGTCATCTTCTTCTGTGTTTTCTCGTGTTTGTCTCCGTGCTCGTTTCTCCCAATCCAATTCAATCCAATTCAATTCAGTTCTATTCAGTTTATTTCTACAGCGCCAATTTGCAACACATGTCAACTTAAGGAACTTTATAGATCCAGATTAACCAGATCATCCAGTCAGATTGATTCAAAGTTTTATATCTAAGGAAAACCAGCTGATTGCATCGACTCATTGACTCTTCAGCAATCCCTCACACTAAGCATGCTTGTAGCGACAGTGGAGAGGAAAAACTCCCTTTGAACAGGAAGAAACCTCCAGCAGAACCAGGCTCAGTGTGAGCGGCCATCTGCTGAGGCCCACTGGGGTTCAAGGAGACAGAAGCAGACGTAGAACTAACAGATTCTGCAGAGTAGGAGAATAGAGATAGAATGAAGCAGAATGATGAAAAAGGGGTCCCTATGTCCTCCAGCAGTCTAAGCCTATAGCAGCAGAACTATAGAGATAGCTCAGGATAACCTGAGCCACTCTAACTAGAAGCTTTATCAAAAAGGAAAGTTTTAAGACTAGCCTTAAAGTTGACAGGGTGTCTGCCTCACGGACTAAAACTGGTAGTTGGTTCCACAGGAGAGGAGCCTGAGAACTAAAAGATCTGCCACCCATTCTACTTTTAGAAGTTCTAGGGAGAGAGTGGAAGCGTCAACTTGACCACAGTTAGATCCAATGTCCTGACTTCAGCATTTGTGCTTTTTTGACGCCCCTAATGCCTACAGTGTGAACCCAGCATTAGCCTGATTCCCACCCACCTTTTTCCGTGACGCTTCCCGGGATTTAAATGGAAGAGGACAACATCATGGCGCCAGGCCCAAGGCCCAGATCCCCAGAATGACCAAGGCTGTCATGATGGTTGACTCTTCAGAACCAACTTGCTGCAAAACACACCATTTGACAAATGTTTCTCTGAGTTTAGAAGTTACAGACCTAGATTGGAGGTAAAAGCCTCCTAAAGAAGTTTTTCCCACATGAGACAAAGGAACCCCCACTTTGCTGCGAGGCTGCAGTGCTGCTAACTGCTGGAAGAAACTCAAACCTTCCAGAACAGACATGGAGGTATGAGGTCTGACACAGTTAGGGACAGATTCTAAAAACAATGATTAATGTTTTCATGTGTTTTCTGATGAGTAAAGACGAAGCTAACAGGATGGATCACATGCTATGCTGCAGTAATATGTGTTGAGCTGTTGTTTATAAAGCTAAATCCAGCTTTATTTCACTAATAAACGCTGATATTGTTTGTTTAGGATTGCCTTCGACTGTTCCAGTTAAACAATTCAACAAAAACATGTTTTCTTTAATCCAACTGTTTTTAATATTCTTTTTTGTTTCTGCATTTTTTATTTTATTTTATTTGTTTTTTATTTTTTCCTACTTGCTTTGATTCAATGTTTTATCTTCCTGTATTTTAATCATGTAAAGCACTTTGCATTGTCTTTGTACTGAATTGTGCTATACAAATAAATTTGCCTTGCCTTGCCTTGCCTTGAGATAATATCAGTGTTGAGGTGTTTTCTCATGACCTCATTATATTTCCATTACCAAATTATGACCAAAACTAATTTAATGGAATCCTGATGTCTATTTGCTGCTAGCGATTTCAAAGAGGGTTAAACATTTTTTTAACTAAAGGTTATTAGTTCCTGATTAAACTAATCATTTAATAAAACATTATTTGGTCAAATAATTTTTTATTCACCTCATGGATTATAAGTGAATTGGTTTGAAAACTTTCCAGTCGCTCTAAAGGAGACAAAAGCTCATTTGATCCTAAATTCTTCCAGATAAACTCTTTGATGTTTACTGACTCTTTCATGTTTTGTGTTTAATCCAGCATAATAATACTGGGATTATTAGGCTCAATGAATAAAGCAGCCCTTCTGTTGTATTTGTGGGACTATTATTTTTAAACAGCACCGACCGCATGTCTAAGAAGTTAACCAGTCGAATAAACAGAGACAAATTAATTATCATTAATTCTGCTTGAATTATAAACAAAGTTACTGAAAATTTACTGATGCTGAAGACATCTTGGATTTTATCATTTAGATAAAGATCATTGCTTTGTTTTACCTTTGAGTTGAATAATATATTAATTTACTAACTTCCAGTTCAGGTTAATTGTATTTTCATATTTATAATAATAATCTGCATAATCAAGCATAGTGCAATAGATCTTCTGGCTTGAGGAAGTCCGTAGTCTTGTTTCAATTGTTTAAATTCTATTGGCTATATTTCTAGAACACAGATTTTAACCTCTAATGGGAATTTCACCTTAAACTATTCAGGTAGACGTTTAATAACATCCTCCCAAAACTTCCACAAACAATGGAAAAGAGTTTATTTTTCAAATGAACATTTAGTGCAAGTATCTGGAGTATAACTGGACATATAAGGAAGCCTAACTGGAATTATAAAGGTTCTAATTAGCCTTTTTTTATTGCAGAAGTTTCAATTATGGTTTGTTTTTGTGCTTTTAAACGTGCCTGATTCCAGTATTTTTCCAAAATATCTCCTCTCCAAGCGTCTAACTCATCTATTGCCGAATCTCTAGAGGAAATCATCAGCAGATTATAGAACATAGAAAGAAAACTTTTTCTTTTCAATCCCTGACGAGCGCTTCCTCTTCTATTATTTTTAAGGTGGAATGTCAGATATTCATTTTAGCTGTGATGACAAATAGTTTTTCAGTTGAAAGTTTTTTTTTTTTAAATTGGGGGGTATTAAATACTTCTTACATAACTTCAATTCAATTCAATTCAGTTTATTTATATAGCGCCAAATTCACAACACATGTCATCTCAAGGCACTTTACAGTTCAACCAGATCATACAGTCAAATTAATACAAAGTTTTCTATCTAAGGAAAACCAGTTGATTGCATCGACTCAAATACAATCCCTCACACTAAGCATGCTTGTAGCGACAGTGGAGAGGAAAAACTCCCTTTGAACAGGAAGAAACCTCCAGCAGAACCAGGCTCAGTGTGAGCGGCCATCTGCTGAGGCCCACTGGGGTTCAAGGAGACAGAAGCATAACTGATAGAAAATATTTTACACTTTTTTTTCCTTCTACTCCTTACATTTTAAAAAGAAAAACTCCTTAGTTTTGTATCATTTAAGCTCATTTTCATTACGGCCATTACACTTGGTATTTAAAAAAAAAAATAAGATCCATTAAAAAAAATTGTTTCATCCAGACAATTAATTTCTTTGTGGTTGGACTTGGTGCTGCCCCAACTTGTTGCTCACCACAAACCCAGGTAAATAGTTTTTAAATTACGACTTTAATCTCAAAACAAGAAAGAAGAAAAAAATCTCCAAACTGGCTCTAATACTCCGCTGTAAAATGTGACGCTGTTACCATTAGTTATAAAACTAAGAATTCATCCAGAATTATAGAAAAATGTTCCTTTAATAGAGTAGAGCAGTAAAACTTCCTGCATTACTATTATACTTTAAGTAGTTTTAAAAATGGTACTTTTACACTTTTACTGGAGTAAAAAGCTTCAGATGATCCTCTAACTTCTATGAAAGTGTTTTTAACAGTAGGATTTATACTTCTACTTCAGTAATTAACATTAATATTTTCAACATGTTGGTTTAAAATGTCTGTTTTGGATTTTTTGTTATTTTTGTTCTGCTAAGAAGAAACCAGAGATGACTCCTGACTGCCCCCTGTGGCTGGACGTGGCATTAAAGTCTGAGCACCTGTTATGAATGAAATTCACCTGCAGCTCTGTGGCAGCAGCACAGGTCAGAACCAGATTAGTTTTTTCTAGACGAAGAGAAAATTAGGTTTTTATTTTTAGGGTTGAGGCATAAAAAGAAAGAATCCATGGAAGTCAACGGGAGTCAACACATGGTCCTCACTACAGATAGCAAGACAGGAGAGTGTGTTTTCTGTTTGTTTTGTTTTTTGCCGGGGGGGGGGGTTATGTGACTCTCCATCTCCGACTTGTTTATTTACCTCAGGCCTCATTTCCTGCTGATGTTTCCTTTATTTTCCCAGAGCTGATGGAGCCTCATGCTGTTTATGTTTCTATTCAGGAAACGCTTTATTTACCATCCTTCTGAGGACCTGCAGCCTTATGACCAGCAGGGTCCAGATGTAGACCCCCACCACCTTTAATGTCAGGGGTTCGGTTCAGAGGAATTAACTCTAGGTTGAGGTTTTGGTCACGAACAGAGGTGGACGAAGTACTCAGCAGTAGTACTTGAGTAAAAGTATTGATACTCGTAGTAAAAGTAAAAGTATTGATACTCAGTCAAATCTTACTCAGCTAAAATTAAAAGTTACTCAATCAGAACATTTCTGTCTAATTTTAATAATAATTTTAAAGAACTGTCAGAAACCTCCTGATGTATTGATGCGTAGAACCACCTGCTATAGATTCTACACACCTGGAAAGAACTTCAGCATAAAAATGCCACATTAATAGGGACGGCCATTTTGATTATTATTTCTTATTAAAAGTAAACAAAGAGCAAACAGTCTAGATTCTCCTCACATTTTCACTGTCCTGATCTTGGAGCTGATGACCGGCTTGATCACTCATTTCATCCACCTGCCCAGCTCCGCCCACTGATCATTACTGTTCATCTGATCCACCTACTTCAGCCTCTATTTAACCAGCCACCAACCAGCCATCAGAGCCAGGTTATTCTCAGGCCAGTGGTGAGAGTTCCTCCAGCGTACCTGAGTGTTACTGATGACCTGATCCTGACCTGTTCTGCCTCTGGACCTCTGAGCCTGTCTGTTCTGGTTCTGATCTGTTTGCCCGACCTGTCCTGTGACCCCTGCTGGATTCTGCCTGCGAACCGATTCCTGACACGTCCTGAATTCCCTTTGGTACTTCTTTGGATCTCTGATCTCCTGGCTTCAACTCCTGAGCACGTCCTCCACACCGGCTTTGGCTTCAGCCTCTAACTTACCTTAATCAAACACTAATACCTCAATAAAATGTATAAACTACTAATATCTGCCCTGAGTTTCTCAGATGTGTGGAATGTCATTAAATCTGTAGATCAGTGGCGTCCAGATTCATTCCTAAGGGCTGCTATCCGCCATGATGGGATGAAAACAGCAACAGAGGATTATAAATACATTTACTCCAGCAAGTAAAGTAAGCAAAAATACTCAAAAAGTAAAGCACAGTAATGAAGTAAATGTTCTTTAGGAATACACTGGTAATGGTTAGGATAAATATAGGCAGCCACCAAAAGGAATAACAGCAAATATAAAGTTCTAATATGGGTAGAAACATGAATGAGGCTTCTACTGAGAAAAAACAAAGCTTCCTTAATCCGAAAACAGAAAAAAATGCGTGCTGCTTCACTCGTCCCGGGTGATGAAGACGACGAGGAAGGCTTCCTGTGTCTGTGGGAACCCATGTTCCTAAACAGGAAGTGATTAAATCCAGCAAATTAGAGAAAAAAAACAGAACCATATGAACAGGAGAAAAAAATAAAACTGTAAATAACCGACTGATTCAACAACCAAATAACAGGATGCTTTTATTTTGAAAGGACTACAGGTGAGTTCTGCAGGGGAACGACATCATGGGAAATACTGATGACGTCATAATAAATTTAACTTTAAAGACACTAAATATCTCAAACTTTTATTCTCTAAATGTTGTTTTTCAGAGTAAAGGATTTTAAGAGACACTTAATGATGAAAGGATAATACAGGTGATGATGATGATGAGGTTCAGGGTCGGGGGGCTTGCCGGGCCCTCTCCCGGTACTCTGGCAGGTGATAGAGGATCCAGGCGGCCGGTGCCAACATGGCTGCAGTGAACACAGACATGACGAAGAAGCTTTGCTGTCAGACAGAGAGCAGAGAGAAGGATCAGGAGACGGAACCAGTCGGTCCACCTTAAGACTTCCAGCACTGATCCCGACAGACTGGCCCCAGAATCAAGGCTGGACTATTGTAATTCTTTACTATCAGGAAGTCCACAAACTGTAGTCAAAAGCCTTCAGCTGATCCAAAATGCTGCAGCCAGAGTTCTGATGAAAATGAAAAAGAGAGATCATATCTCTCCTATCCTGGCTTCTCTTCATTGGCTTCCTGTTAAATCCAGAATAGAATTTAAAATCCTCTTTCTCACATATAAAGCTCTGATCAGTCGAGGTCCTGAGATGGTTTCTAGAGATATAGAGTTTATAGAGTCAAAATATAGCATCAAATATATAAATGTACCAGAAAATATATGAATAGATG